GCTGAAAACACCAGCAGTGGGAAAGAGACAAGAATTCTCTCCTCTAGGTTTCAGAGGGAGCACAGCCCTGCCAACACTTTGATCTTGAGCTTCATGTCTCTAGAACTGTGAGATAATAAATTTCTGTTGTCTTAAGCCACCTAGTTTGTAATACTTTTTTTTTTTTTTTTTAACGACAACCATATAAAATGAAGTCTTTTTGGATTTTCTATTGAGTCAATTTTGGCAATTTGTGTCTGTCTAGGAATTTGTCCAATTCATCTGCATTGTCTAATTTATTGGCACAAGGTTATTTACAGTCTCTTACAATCCTTTTAATTTGGGTTGGTAGTGACGTACCTGCTTTGATTCCTAATTTTGGTCTTTTTAATTTTTTGGCCAGTTTAATATTGGCTCATTAATTTTACTGTTTTTTTCTCAAAAAACAAACTTTTGATTTTCATTTTCTCTATTTTTGTTACTTATTTCATTGATTTGCAATATGATAATTATTTCCTCCCTTTGCTAAAGGTTTATGTTCCTCCTTTCTAGTTTTCAAGGTGGAAGTGTAGATCTGAGAGTCTTTTTCTTGGTGTTTAAAGGACTAAATACCCTTTTGATCACTGTTTCAGCTGCAGTGCATGACTTCAATATGTTTTCACTTTCATTCATTTCAAAATACTTTCTAACTTCCTTTAGTACTTCTTCCTTGGCCCATGAGTAACCTAATTTCCAAACATTTGGGGATTTTCCAAATTTCTTTCTATTGTTAATCCCTAATTTAATTCCATTGTAATTAGAGAATATACTTTGTATGATCCCAATTCTTTTAAATTTACTGAGACTTATTTATGGCCGACCACAGGGCTATCCTGGAGAGTATACTTTTTTTTTTTAGATGGAGTCTCTGTCTCTTGCCCAGGCTGTGGTGCAGTGGCGATCTCAGCTCACTGCAAGCTCTGCCTCCCGGGTTCACACCATTCTCCTGCCTCAGCCTCCTGAGTAGCTGTGATTACAGGCACCTGCCACCACACTTGGCTAATTTCCTTGTATTTTCTAGTACAGACAGCCCAACTAATTTTTCTGTATTTTTTAGTAGAGACGGGGTTTCACCATGTTAGCCAGGATGGTCTCAATCTCCTGACTTTGTGATCTGCCCACCTCGGCCTCCCAAAGTGCTGGGATTACAGGCGTGAGCCACCGTGCCTGGCCCAGTATACTTTTAAAAAAGAACATCAATTCTGCTGTCATTAAGTACAGTGTTCTGTACATATCAGTTAGGTTGAGAGTCCTGTTCAAGACTTCTACATACGTAGTGATTTTCTGCCTGGTTGTTGTATACATTATTGGGAGTAGGGTACTGAAATATAAAATTACTGTTGTTTGTATATTTCTCTATTCATTCAATCATTTTTGCTTCATGAATTTAGGGTTCTGTTACTGGGTGCATATACATTTATAACTGTTATATCTTCCCAATGTATTGACCCTCTTATCAGTATGGAATTTCTGTCTCTAGAAATATTTCTTGTTGGCCAGGCACGCTGGCCTGTAATCCCATTTGGGAGGCCAAGAAGGGTGGATCACATGAGGTCAGGAGTTTGAGACCGGGCTGGCCAACATGGCAAAACCCCATCTCTACTAAAAAAAAATACAAAAAAATTAGCCAGGCGTGGTGGCGGGCACCTGTAATCCCAGATACTTGGGAAGCTGAGGCAGGAGAATTGCTTGAACCCAGGAGGTGGAGGTTGAAGTGAGCCGAGATTACGCCATTGCACTTTAAAAAAAAAAAAAAGAAAAAAAAAATTTCTTTCTTAAAGTCTATTTCATCTGATATTAGTATAGCCACTACAAATCTCTTATGGTTCGTGTCTGCATAGTCTACTGTTAAGTATCATTGGTATTATTATCATTATGGTACATGAACCAGTTTCTCACTTTTACAGTTCTTAAATTGAGATCTGAATTATTTAATTTGCAAGCTTTTCTATAACAAGAAAGCTATAAATTCTTTGATCAGCTTTACACATATTTTGGTACAGTTTTGGGTAAAACAGTAATCAATACTCGGTTCATTAAAAGAAATTAGAAACCTAAACAAGCTTCTCCCTTAAAAAAGATGATCCAGTTGTGTATTTGTTGCGCGGTATTGTTGCCTGACGTCTCACTTTCAGGCTGGGTTCTGAAATCTGAGAATGACACTTGTCTACCTTCCTGTCAGTTCCAATCCTGGATTTATTAATTGTACAAGGGTTGTTACCACCACTCCTCTGCTTATGTGCAAGTACCACATCTTAGAAACACTCATTTAAGTCAGGTGGCTTAATCATAGATATTGCTGCTTTTCCTGTAAGTCTTAGATAAAAGTTAAAATTTATTTTATACCATTCAATGTCTCACATATTATGCACAATGTGCACAGTGTTGCCTTGTCTCATCATTAAGATACATACTTTTCAGCATTTAGAAATCATTGTTTTACATGGTAATGTAGTGATTACATATATTTTAAGTTAAAGAATTTATTCTGGCATTGATTCTTTGGTATTTTTGAGCCTTGCTCAGTGAAAGGATGCTGCTGCTGATTGCTTCATATGTTAATATTTAAGATATACAATTATTATCCAAGTGGTTTGTCAATTTAAATGGGATATGAGCATGTTACAACATGCTCATTTCAATAAAAACGTTTAAAAAACCCAGTCTGCTCAACAAATCACATAGGGCAAAAGAGAAGGTCGTTTTTAAAAAGGTAGGTATTTTTTTCTACCTGTTAAATGTCTTTTACCTCTTAAATGTCTATGACAATTTTCACTGATATTTGAAACAGAACATAATTACCTAAGAATATTCTTAGTCCCTATATATTGCTACATTTTAATGAAATTATTGAATTGAGACTTCTTGATTTGTGGCTCCCTTAAAATGACTTCTGCATTTGATGTATTATAAGGACAAGAAAATGATGCAATTATAGAAAGGTGTATAGAGTGATGGAGAACAGAAGATAGGATTAATAGTAATTGAATGGATTCATATGATAGTGGATCAGAAGGATAAATGAGGACTTCTTCCTTTTGAGAAATTACACATTTCCCCCTCTAGGGAAATACAGAAAATACCTCTATAGGCAATTTACTTTTCCCCGCATTCATTTGACTTTTCATTTCCAGAAATGCAGTTTCTCATTGTCAGGTGAGCTTTTGGAGGAGTATATTGTTTTTCTAGGAAACGGGTAACTTACAAGTCTTAAGGAACACATACAATTTGCTAAGAATTTTCTTTGTCACTTGAAAGTCATATGTAAACTCACATCTATACATGAGCCACATTTTCACTTAAATTTCAAACTCCAAAATAAACATTCCTATGAAGAGTTTTCATACACAATGGCAAAAGATAAACTCTTCTGGTTTAGGCAGTTTTTGTTTTAGCAGACTATCTAAACACAGCTGCTACAACTTCCAATAAACAAAGAGCAACACTAAACCACCTGTATTCGGATATTCGGATTCCTTCTTGGAAAAAGAGCATATTTACCCTAGCTAACAGCAAATTCTGTAAGATTTTTTTTTTTTTTTTTTTTTTTTGAGACGGAGTCTTGCTCTGTCGCCTAGGCTGGAGTGCAGGGGCGAGATCTCAGCTCACTGCAACCTCTGCTTCCCGGGTTCAAGGATTCTCCTGCCTCAGCCTCCCGAATAGCTGGCATTACAGGCGCCCACAACTATGTCTGGCTAATTGTTGTATTTTTTAGTAGACACGGGGTTTCGCCATGTTGGCCAGGCTGGTTTTGAACTCCTGACCTCAGGTGATCCGCCCGCCTCAGCCTCCCAAAGTGCTGGGACTACAGGCATGAGCCACCGCGCCAGGCCTGTTGTTTTTTAAATAGAGACAAGGTCTCACTATGTTGTCCAGGCTGGTCTCGAACTCCGGAGCTCAAGTGATCCTCCTGCCTCGACCTCCCAAAGTGCGGGGATTACAGGCGTGAGTTACCGTGCCCGGCTGTAAGATAGTTTTTTCATATCATATTAAATAAATATAGCATTGCAACATTTAACTTAGCCTGACTCCTACAGCTGAACATAAAACTTGCTCCCGATAGCAAACAATTAAAATGGTATCAAATGATCTGGTAATCGAAATTCTATTAACTGAAATACGAAACACCTAAAGCCCTCAAAATGGGCAAACGCTGCGTGGTGCAGTCCCAGACCCAAGCTTCTGGGAGTGAAAGGTGCACCCGCAACCATCTGGCTGGCTCTGGGACTCTGCGATAAACCGCCCTCTCGCTGTCTGCAGATAGCTCCTGAAGCGGGAGAGTCTCTCCCACCCTCCGCCTAACAGGCGGTATCTGACCCTTCCAAGCAGCAGCTACCCAGCGTGCGGCTGCGCTGGGGCCCAGAAGGACGAAGCTCCCCGGCAGAGAACCTGGGTAGAGGCTCCCGCTGGGGTAGGCGGCCGGGACCCACTCGCTGCTTCTCCCCTCGTGGTCGGGTCCCTTGAACGCAGGCCGCTTGTTTGCTTTATGCGTTGTAAGCAGCCAGTAGCAATTTATGGCAGTAAGGAATATTATTATCCACATTTCACGTGGAGCTTGGAAGACAGGGTGAGGGTGCACACTCTCCTTACTGCGCTCTGCAACGGTCCTGCCCCGCCGTGCCCTCGCAGCACCCTCGGGGCCAGTGCCGCCGCACGCTGCCCGCAAATAGCAGAGCGCGGGCGCGCACAACTGGGCATGCGCCATGGCCAAGCCGTCCGCTTTAGGGCCCTCCCCTCCCGTACCCGGCCCGGAGGAACCGGGAGCACCCGGGAATCGGGAACGTGCGTGATGACGCACGTGCACGCGAAGACGTGGGGACGCAGGCGGGTCGTAGAGAGCGTGAGTTTCCGCGTCTGTTTGGTCCGGCTCCTGGCGTCGGTTCTGAGAGGCGTCTCTCGATGTTTTCCCGGGCTGCGGGCGCTGGCCGCCGGGCAGGGGCTGCTGGGCGGAGGTCGGCGCCTCCCGGGGGGCCAGGGCGAGGGAGGCATGGCAGGGTTGGAGGCATAGCCTCCCCGTCCGGGGCAAGTTCGAGAGCGGGGAGGGCGTTTCCTGGGGCAACTCCACCGGGGTCCTGTGGACGTTGCCCCTTCTCCGCCGGACCGCACGGGAACGACGTGCCCACACTCGGAGGAAGGGGTTGGCGCTGAGCGAGTTTAAAGGGTTCCTTTTGAAAGCAGGAAGTTTGAAATGAAGTTGCGTCAGCAGCAGAGCGTGCAGTTTCAGGTGCTGTCGGGACAGCTTTCAGCTTCTCAGAACAAGCCTAACCCTCACCGCAGTAATAACTTTTATTAGGGGACAAAAAATTCACCAAAGTAAAACCCTTTCTGCCCAAACCTAAAAACCTTTGGATAAACGTTTGCAAGAAACGGATCACAGCCTTATTTGTTTTTCTAGACTGAGCATAAACTCTTTTGAAGACTCAGCGTTACTGTCAAAATGAATGATTGCCTGCCTACTTATGATTCAGTTATCGAGGTGTTTAGGTCTCCTTGCAGTACACTCAGTGACTCCCAGACTTTTTTTTTTCCCCTCCCTTTGAAATTGCTTGTTAGAAGGCTTTATCTAATTTCTCACATTTGTGTGTCTTTTTAAGGTGGTTCTAATAAACTTTAAAGGCTTCTGATTTGCTGCGGGCCTGCCATCGCTGTGGAAAACAAGTATTCTTTCAGAGGAGAATAGAAGTGCGTTGGTTTCTAAATAGTCCCAATAGGACGCTAGCATCAGCATCACTTGGGAACTTTTTGGAAATGCACATTTTGGGATCTTACCCCAAACTTACTGGATCAGAAATATGTTTTAACAAGCCTTCCAGTTGATACCAGTGCACCTGGATGCTAGAGTTTGAGAATTACTGGCGTAGTGATAACACCCATTGTGGAGTCACATATAATGGAATTTGAATTGAAGTAATTCCTAGATGGAGACACTTGGACATGTTACCTCACAGGGCAGGAATATGAAGATGCAAGAAAAATGTTTAACACCAAACACATAGAAAACCCCCCAAAGATGTTATTAAATAACTTACTAGAACTGCATAAAGTAAGTACATAGTTTGTGCTGGAAGGATTGTTCAGCGGGGTAGATATGAGTTGTAGTGCATGGATATTGGGACCACTGCTTAGAGGGTATTTTGTTTACCACCTCGGGACTCTCAGTTCTGTGTAGTCAAGGTTGTTGGATACAGGATGCTCAGTTAAAAGTTAAAGCAGTGCATACTAATGCTATTGTGGTTGTGGGATTTTTAAGAATAACGTTAGTATTTATGTTGAAGAGTAGTTTTTAATTCTTTGACCTTGTGAGCTCTTCAGTTTTATTTGTTTATTTGGAGACAGTCTCTTTTTGCTGCCCAGGCTGGAGTGCAATGGCGCGATCTGGGCTCACTATAACTTCTGCCTCCCAGGTGTAAGCGATTCTCCTGCCTCAGCCTCCCAAGTAGCTGGGATTACAGGTGTCTGCCACCACTCCCAGCTAAGTTTTGCATTTTTAGTAGAGGTGTTTGCCAAGTGGTCTCGAACTCCTGACCTCAGGTGATACACCTGCCTCGTCTTCAGTTTAGTTATACCTTGTTTGACCCAGAATTTGGTAAAGACCAAAGGTAAGCACTAGTTTTGGAGTTGAGAAGTATTGTAACATAGTGACTTGCAAGCAAAATCCAAGGCTGAAGATGTTTCTGTCCTTATCTTTGTTTCCCATATGTCATACAGCTCCACGGTAGCAAAGATCTCATGTCTACTTTAGATACCTCCCTTTTCAGGAAGGATCACAGGAGTGCCCTCAACCTGCTGTGTTTTTTAGATGCAGTGTTTTCTTACCACTTTAATTCCTTCAGGGGCCCATTGTAGGGGGAAAAAGAAATATTCAAGATTTAAAGCAGCTGCTCTAAAGGCGACGTTCACTGCAGTGTTGAGAAGGTCAGTACCAAACCGTGGCCTACACATGTCGTTTTGATTAGAGCACACTGCTCCCAAGGCTACACCATGGCTCCTGGATATTGAGAGTTTTCAGGTGAAACATGAGTCACTTTGGATGGATTATTCTGGAAATAATTTCGTTAGCTCTGCCGCCAAATTGGCACTGCCCCATCATGAAATGTTTATTTTTCAAAGGCATCAAATTTTGTTGTTGTTGTTGTTGTTCTCCCTACCGGAGAGGCAGATTGCTATCCGTGGTTTTGGGTCAGACAAGTCTTTCTGCTCAAAATCTTGGGTCTGCTACTTAGTGATTGCGTCCCTTAGGCAAATTAACATCCTCCCCACTTGAATTTCTGTAAAGTAGGAGTCATAGGATGTGCTACTGCAGGCCATTGAATTAAATGAAATAACGCATAAAACATGTTTTAGGCACAGAGGCTCAGTAAATATGTGTCGGACAAAGGGAAAAAAAGGTATTTGTCACCTCAAACCTAACTTTATGCCATTCATTTTGTAATATTTTTATAAATGAGGTAATTTTATTACCTGACTGCACTGCTTTTCTTTTTAACCATAAAATGCTGAAATGGGGTCAAAGCTTTCACATTATTGTGAATGAGAAAAAACAGTTGAAAAAAGTTGAAACTTTAACGTGGAAAAACACTATCTTCAGTTTTATCACTGTAACAGCAACTTCTAGAAATTGTTTTGGATGTTTACAGGCAGGTAAACATCCAAAGGTCAGGGGATGAATAATAAAGTTTCTTCAGTTAGTTAATGGGGACAGTCAGCTAGAGAAGGGGACACTGTTACAGGAAATGAGACCTCACTGAAGGTGTGCATCAAAGGATGAGAAAATGCTGTTAGCCCTGAAATTGTTAATATTTTTTAAAAACACAAGTTCTTAATAGCAAAGTGAAAAGTTTTACATTCCATTTTTAATAAGGGATAACAAAATTCTTACATGTATTTTTGTGTGTATATATTGCATATGAATGTATGAGTGCAGAAAATACTTGAAAGGACTCACACTAGGTCATAATGTATGTTTGTCAGTATATTGGAATATGGGGGTGGGGACCAAGTATAAAAGGAAATTATACATTTATGGAAAATTAGATACATACATGTATATGTAAACGTTGTTTAAAAAATCTATTAAAAACAAGCGATTCTTTAAAAGGTAGATTTCCTTTTATGTTACAATTATAGCCATGTAAGCAGTGGTCCTCATATCTTTTTTCAACAGGGAGCCTCTTAAACAGAATCTTATCTGTAAAACTCAGGAGCCGAGAAGCTTTAAGAACAGTGAGGTTGAAGGGCACAGGCTCTCAGTCCTTGGCGGCGATGCTAGGAGATGTGCCTAGGGAACCTAGGATTGTGGGGAGCTGGATGTGAAGCTCTGTGGTGGAACAGAAATCCTCAGGGCATGAGCTATACCTAAAAAGTAATGGTATTAAGAATTGTGGTAAATGGGATTCATAAACTTGTTCTGAAGACAGTTTCCAAGGTTGTCAGCCACTTCACCATATGGATGGCTTTTCACGCAGGGGAGTGAGTGATTATTGAGAAAAAAGAATCCACCTGACCCATATTTTACAAAGTAGGATTCTGCGCTCTTTTTTGAGGAATTAGCTTTTGAAAAAAATCCCTCCAAGTTGTGACAGCTGTATCACTATTAAAAGTTATTTGGCATTTTAACTGACTGTTGTTTAGGATTACAAATGACTCAGGGAGAAAGAAACAGGGAGTCAAAGGAAATGTACTACTTGTGTTTATAGCCCTGTCATTTTTTTGTTGTATGGAAGCAACTTCTCTATATTTATATGGTAAAGTGTTTTATTTTTTTTTAGAGAGTTAATTTTCAGTTAATGAGCCTTCATAAGAAAAATAATTTCAAATTTTAAGTATTTGTTAGATTGTTATTAACAGTGATAGTGATATTACATTGTCTTTTTCACACATCGAAGAGGGTTTCCTGGTGACAGCTGGAGCTTGGGGGAGGGGGAGTTACTTTCAATCAACCAGCTGCTTTGTGGCAGTATCATGATGGTGATATTTGAAAGCCCATAGATAATTTTGGCTGTATTCAGGGAAGAAAATCTATCAAATTTCTGGGAAGCAACAGATAGTGGGCAAGAGCCCTTTGGGATCTAGATGATGGCCAACTAACAATGTGTGCATTCAGGTTTGCATGTTGGAGTTATTTACCATCTAGTTTCTTGGACATTGTTACATGCACCTCATAATTACACAGCAATAGAATCTAGTTCTAACGGCAGGAAAGGCTGATTAAGGAGAGGAAAGGAGAGTGAAAAACTTTGGTGATGTGCTACACGCCTTATTATAATACCCTATTTCATCTATTCTTGATGGTGATTCTAGGATGTAAGTGGAATTTTTTTCGTCTATGGATAAAGAAACAGAAGCTCTACAGTACCGATTATATGATTTGCCCAAGGCCACATACTAGTATACGATGGCATCCATATTTGACCCCAGATCTTCTGGCATTAGCTCCAGGAGTGTTGTCATTACACCAACAGCTGTTTCTCCAGGTGTTAATTTGCTTATGCATTTTTAATGCAAAGTCACAATATCAGGGTAGTAATGAATGAAATAAATATAAATGTTACTTACAATGACTTCAGTTTTATAAATAATGTATAGGGGGGTGTGTGTGTGGACTTGTGTGTATATGTGTGTTTTGGCAACTACATATAATTTGGGCTTTTTTTCTTTGAGTAAAAAGTCTCTTGGGCAATACTGTGAAAAAAATTTCACTACCTTTTTTAAAAAATATATTACTGATACCAGCAATATTGCAATTATGTGTGTTGCAATGAATCATTTATTCTAAATTTGAACAAGTCTAGGAATGAATTTTGTGCACACTGCCCATGTAGTCCCCTTATCCTAACATATTGAAGGAATTTTTTTTTCAAGCCATATTCATTTTTCATTCATTTATTTATTTTTTTGAGACAGAGTCTCACTCTGTTACCCAGGTTGGAGTGCAGTGGTGTGATCTTGACTCACTGCAGCCGGGACCTCTTGGGCTCAGTTGATTCTCCCACCTGAGCCTCCCAAGTAGCTGGGACTACAGACATGTGCCACCACACCCAGCTAATTTTTTTTTCTTCAGCTTTTAAGTTCAAGGGTACATGTATAGGATGTGCAGGTTTGTTACATAGGTAAATACGTGCCATGGTGGTTTGCTGCATAAATCATCCAGTCACCTAGGTATTAAGCCCCACATCCATTGGCTATTGTTTCTCCCTGCCTACCACACCTCCCTGACAGGCCCCAGTGTGTGGTGGTCCCCCGCCATATATCCTTGTGTTCTCATCATCTAGCTCATAAGTGAGAACATGCAGTGTTTGCTTTTCTCTTCCCATGTTCGTTTGCTGAGGATAATGACTTCTAGCTTTATCCATGTCCCTGCAAAGGACATGCTTTCATTCCTTTGTATGGCTGCATAATATTCCATATGTACAACATCTTCTTTATCCATCTGTCATTGATGGGCGTTTAGGTCAATTCCATGTTTTTGCTATTGTGAATAGTGCCGCTTTGAACATATGTGTGCACGTATCTTTATAATGGAATGATTTCTATTCCTTTGGGTATATACCCAGTAATGGGAATGCTAGGTCAAATGGTATTTCTACCTCTAGGTCTTTAGGAATCGCCAGTCTGTCTTACACAATGGTTGAAGTAACTTACATTTCCACCAACACTGTAGTAGCATTCTGTTTTTTCTGCAGCCTCGCCAGCATCTGTTGTTTTTTGACTTTTTAATAATACCTGTTCTGGCTGGCATGAGATAGTATCCCACTGTGGTTTTGATTTGCATTTCTCTAATGATCAGTGACGTTGAGCTTTTTTCCATATGTTTCATGGCTGCATGTATGTTTTCTTTTGAGAAGTGTCTGTTCATGTCGTTTGCCCACTTTTTAATGGGGTTGTTTTTTTCTCCTAAATTTAAGTTCTTTGTAGACTCTGGATATTAAACCTGTCAGATGGATAGATTTTATTTTATTTTATTTTATTTTATTTTATTTTATTTTATTTTATTTTTTTTGAGACGGAGTCTGGCTCTGTCACCCAGGCTGGAGTGCAGTGGCC